TATTTATTTTTTTGACAGGCAGTTTAGACAGTGAGAGAGAGAGAGACAGAGAGAAAGGTCTTCCTTCCATTGGTTCACCCCCCAAATGGCTGCTACGGCCAGCGCACTGTGCCAATCTGAAGCCAGGAGCCACGTGCTTCCTCCTGGTCTCCCATGCAGGTGCAGGGCCCAAGTCCTTGGGCCATTCTCCACTGCCTTCCCGGGCCACAGCAGAGAGTAGGACTGGAAGAGGAGCAACCGGGACAGAATCCGACACCCCAACGAGGACTAGAACCCGGGGTGCTGGTGCTGCAGGCAGAGGATTAGCCAAGTGAGCCACGGTGCCGGCCTAGCCTTATAAGAATTTCTGAAAGGAGTCCTACATTAGAACAGACATCATGAAAACACATGACACTACCAATTCACTAACAGAGCAGGTAGAATCAGTAACCAATCAACAAAATGACAGGTGTTAGTTCTTATCTATTGATACTAACCTTGAATGTAAATATATTAATTTCCCTAACCAAAAGATTTAGTTTGGCTGAGAGGATAAAATCAAAGATACCACTATATTCTGCCTATTATTAAAAATTCACTTCATTAATAGAGATACATAGATGAAAGTAAAGACTGGAAAAAATATACCAGATAAATTGAAACCAAAACTGAGCAGGAGTAGCTAAATTCATATAAGATAAACCCACCTTTATATTAAACACTATAAAAAGAGACAAGGACATTATATATTCATAAAAATTGATTCAGCAAGAAGATACAGCATTCATAAATGTATACATGCCCAACACAAGACCACCTATATATATAAAGTAAATACTACTAGAACTAAAGGAGAGAGAGAGGCCGGCGCCACGGCTCAATAGGCTAATCCTCCGCCTTGCAGCGCTGGCACACCGGGTTCTAGTCCTGGTCGGGGCGCCGGATTTTGTCCGGGTTGCCCCTCTTCCAGGCCAGCTGTCTGCTGTGGCCAGGGAGTGCAGTGGAGGATGGCCCAAGTCCTTGGGCCCTGCACCCCATGGGAGACCAGGATAAGCACCTGGCTCCTGGTTTCGGATCAGTGCGGTGCGCCGGCTGCAGCATGCCAGCCACGGCGGCCATTGGAGGGTGAACCAACGGCAATGGAAGACCTTTCTCCCTGTCTCTCTCTCACTGTCCACTCTGCCTGTCAAAAAAAAAAAAAAAAAGGAGAGATAGATACCAATGTAGTAATAGTGGTGGACTTCAACCCCGCAGCACAATGGACAGATCATTAATACAGAAAATCAACACAAAGATATATTGGAGTTGAACCATATTCTATTGAGCAAATGGATCTAACAGACATTTACAGAACCTGTCCACCTACAGCTACAGAATACATATTTTTTTTTATCATAACAGGCAACATTCTTTAGGACAGACCATCTATTAGGCCACAAATCAGGGCTCAGTAAATTTATAAAGATTGAAATCATGTCTTATATGTTCTCAGACCACAAAGGAATAAAACTAGAGATCAACAGCAAGAAGAACAATACAACATTTACAAATGCATCAAAATTAAACAGCATGGTACTGAACGACCAATGGTTCATTGAAGAAATTAAAAAATAAATAAATAAAACACTTTCTTAAAATAAATTAAAATTAAAATACAACAATTTAAACCTGTGGGATACAGAAAAAGCAATATTAAGGGAGAGGTTTATAACATTAAGTGCTTATATTAAAAAGAGAAAAGATATGCTGGTTTCTCTTCAGATTGTATAAATCTTTCACCTTGTACTAAAAAAGAGAAAAGCCTGAAATAAATAACTAAATGGTCCACCTAGAGGACTTAGAAAAACAGGAAAAAACCGAACCCCTAATTATCAGGAGGTGAAAAATAATAAGGACCAGAGCAGAAATAAGTGAAATTGAAACTAAAAACAACAATGACAAAACCCACAAAAGATCAACAAAACAAAAAGCTGGTTTTTTTCAGAAGATGAACAAAATAGACAAAACTTTAGCCAAAGTAACAAAGAAAATAAAGAGAAAAAAACTCAAGTAAATAAAATTAAAGATGAAAAAGGAGACATTACAACTGACACCCCTGAAAAGCAAAGGATCATAAGAAACTACTATGAACAACTATGCACTAACAAATTGGAAACCTCAAAGAAATGTATAAATTCCTGGATGCAAACAACCTACCAAAATTAAATCAAAAAGATACAGAAAGTCTACAGAGGCCCATTAAAAGCAACAAGATTGAGACAGTAATTAAAAGTCTTCCATGGGGCCAGTGCTGTGGCATAGCTGGTAAAGCTGCCACCTGCAGTGCCAGCATCCCATGTGGGTGCCAGTTTAAGTCCCAGCTGCTCCACTTCTGATCCAGCTCTCTGCTGTGACCTGGGAGGGCTGTGGAGGATGACCCAAGTGTTTGGGCCCCTGCACCCATGTGGGAGACCTGAGGGAGGCTCCTAGCTCCTGGTTTCAGTTCGGCGCAGCTCCAACCATTGTGGCCATTGGGAGAGTGAACCAGTAAATGGAAGACCTCTCCCTCTCTGCCTCTGCCTCTATCTCTCTGTAACTCTGCCTTTCAAGCAAATAGATAAGTCTTAAAAAAAAAATTCTTCCATTAAGGAAAAGTTCAGGACCTGATGACTTTACTTCTGAATTCTATAAAACATTTAAAGAGAAACTAATTCCAATACTCTTTAAACTATCCCAAAATATTTAACAGGATGAACTCTGTAAAAACTCTTTTTATGAAGCCAGCATCACTTTGACACCAAAACTGAAAAAAGATACCAAAAACTATAACCTATATCCTTGATGAACATAGATACAAAGATTCTCAACAACATACTAGCACACTGAATCCAAAATCACACCAAAAAGCGGTGTATCATAATCAAGTTGGATTTATTTCAGATATACAGGATAGTTCAACATTCATAAATTAATAAATACCACAAATCACATCCACAGAATGAAGAACACAATCCATAGATGATGTAAGCAGGCAGACAGGATAAAATTGAGTAGGTCTGTAAGCTAGAACACCATGCCTTCCCCACGCCCTGTGTGATCTCATGCCCCTGCCTGACCTCACCTGTATGCCCACCTGCCAATCAGACTAATTAACCACGCCCCTTTAGAAGTGGATAAAAGGCATGGAACATGGTAGGCCCTGCCCTTTTTCTTGCTGCCCTTTCTTTTCCAACATTATGGACCTTTGTTGACCTGCGTCTTCAGGGCACGTAGCTTTTGGGCCGCCTGTGCTCTCTGCCTTCGCCTCGCAGCCCATGATAAGCTGCTAATAGTAGTTGCTCTTAACCAAACGCTTGCTGCACGTAGCTTTTGGCCTATTCTAGGCTTGGTATGGATCTAGGTTTCTCTTTCTCTCTTAGATAGAGCCCTCACTCTTCTATGCATGTCTCTCACTGAATAAAAAGCTCAAAAACTTACCAGGTCGCCTGGTCTATTTAAGCCAGGATTCAGAATTCTTCTCTGAATACATGGCAGGAACTCACACAACTTATTGATTTCAGAAATATTAATAAGCAAATCGGTTTCAAATAGTCATCTCAATAGAGGTGAAGAAAGCATTTGGGCCTGTCAAAAAAAAAAAAAAAGATTCAGTGTTCCTTCATGATAAAATTCTCCACAAATTAAGTATAGGAGGAACCAACAGCCAATATGATCCTAAATGAGGAAAAGCTGAAAACATTTCCCCTCAGATCATTAACCAAAAAATGGAAATATATTCCTTTCTCATTGATTAGAAGAATTAATATAATTAAAATGTCTATACTACCTAAAGCAATCTTCAGATTCAATACAACCCTTATCAAAATCCCATTGACATTCTTTACAGAAGTAAATAAAATAATCCTAAAATTTGTATGGAATATGGAATCATAAAAGAACCAGCAGATGGAAGACTCTCTCCCTCCCTCCCTTCCTCTCTCTCTCCCTCTGCCTCTCCTTCTCTCTCTGTGTAACTCCGACTTTCAAGTAAATCAATACATATATTTATAAAAAGAATACAAATGGCCAAAAAAATATGAGAAATTTTCAGTATCACTAGCCATCAGGGAAATGCAAATCAAAGCTACAAAGATATATCACCTCATCCCTGACAGAAAGGCTATTATCCAAAAGACAGAAAGTAGCAAATTCTGTGGAGGATGTGGAGAAAGGGTAAAACGTATATGCTGTTGGTAGAAACGTAAATTAATGCAGCCAGTATGGACAATGATGTGGAGATTTATTTCAAAACTAGAAATAGACTTGCCATAAGACCCAGCAATCCCACTACTGGGTATATACCCAAAAGATATGGACATGTTGTATAAGAGATACCTGCACCACCATGTTCAATGCAATACTGGTCACAATAGCCAAAATATGGACTCAGCCAAGGTGTCCATCATCAAATGAATGAGTAAAGAAAGTTTGTATATGCATATACAGATGAATGAGTAAAGAATGAATATTATTCAGCTACAAAAAAGAATGAAATTCTACCAAGTGCATCATATAGATGCAAATGGAGGATATCATATTGAGTGAAATAATCCACAGAAAAACAAATACCACATATTCTCTTTCATGTGTGGGAGCTAAAAATTTTTTTAAATAATAAAAAAAAAGAAATGCCCATGTGTATCAATATTGCTATAATATATCAAACTTTGTCTTATATATTTTTCAAGCAAATGCTTAAGAATGTTATACTACTATAGTGTTAATAAGAACACAATAGTGTTAATGTTCTTTGATTATTTTCAATTTACTGTTTATGAGTGAAATTGATAACTTTTCATTTGATTAGTGCTTGTAGACCTTATCTTTAATCCTTCTTAACCATAATCTTATCTTTTTTTACCTTTTGAACTCTCTATTTATCAGAGCATTAAGCCTTTGACTAAAACGTAAATTAAAAATATGTTATTGTAAAAATTTCAAAAGGAAGAGAGAGGGAAGGAAGAAGGAAGCATCACTATATTCTTAGAATTGTGTGTTTGATCATGTCAGCTGCCAGCGCCCGAGGCCTGCGGGCCGCCTACCACCGGCTCCTGGATAAAGTGGAGCTGATGCTGCCCGAGAAATTGAGGCCGTTGTACAACCACCTGGCAGGTCCCCGCACAGTTTTATTCTGGGCTCCAATTATGAAATGGGGATTGGTGTGTGCTGGATTGGCTGACATGGCAAGACCTGCAGAAAAACTCAGCACAGCTCAGTCTGCTGTTTTGATGGCTACAGGGTTTATTTGGTCAAGATACTCCCTCGTAATTATTCCAAAAAATTGGAGTCTATTTGCTGTTAATTTCTTTGTGGGGGCAGCAGGAGCTTCTCAACTCTTTCGCATTTGGCGATATAACCAAGAACTAAAAACTAAAGCAAACCAATAAAAGAGTTCCTGACCACGTGGACAATCTAAATATGGATATAACCACTGGGACCTATTTGATTATTGATAAGGCAATGCTAACTGTGCTAAATTTTAGAGGGCACACAAAAAAATTTAACTAACTGGTAGCTAGTGCTTGATTCAACAGAAAAATAAAGGAAATTTTTAATAAAAAAAAAGAATTGTGTCTTTGAACTACACTGAATCTGTTCTCTTTGTATTAAATTCACATTAATGTGAGAGTTGTTATGCAATAATTACCATGCATTTGCTGTGATCTTGAGAATCTAATGTATCAATAAATTCCTTTTAAAATTATCAAAAATACATAGTTAACTGTAAAATTATACATTAACTGCTTTCTCCTATCAATCACAAATTAAAATTTTAATTACTAAATTAAAAATTTTTTATTTGAACACTACAGTTATTAAACAGTATGCACTAGGTAATACAAAAAAGAAAGAGATGGAGAGAGATACAGAGAGAGAGAGAGAGAGAGAGAGAGAGATCTTTGAAGAGCATGGTAGATTTGTCTTTCCTCAATGACAACTTAGAGAAGCATCAAGAGAATAGTAGATTCTGGCTTCTTGTCAATTGAGCAACCTTAGAATTGCTGGTGTTCTATCCATTATCTTGCCTTAAATGGAAAACAGAGATGTGGCAGTTGGAACAAATGCTGTTAGTAAATAAGTACATTGCCCCACTCTTCTTTTTGAAAGTTTTATTAAGATAGAATTCAATACAATTCACTCACTAAAAGTGTGCAATTTGATGGTATTTAGTGTGTTCACAGGCTTATGCATGAATTACCACAATTTAGGGAATTTTATTACTCCAAAGAGAAATTCCACCTTCTCTTAGCCCTCACTTTATACCCTTTCTTTTTAAACTTCTTTTGATTGTTTACTACAACACTGAAACAACTAACATTACTGTCTAGTTTATATAATTCTGTAAGTTAAACACTTTACATTTTTTTATTAATTCTGACTAAATCTAAAGAGCCAAACCAAGTATGTCATTGTAACCTATTTAATGTAATATACTGAAATAAGTAAAAGTTCAGAGAAAAGCAAACAAAATAAACAATGGCATAGGTAGGGTGAAAACAGAAGTGGGTTTTGTTTTACTGTGAAAGAAGATGTTAATTCACTGCCATCTCCAAAGTGGGCTGCCTTCTTTCAGCATACACACTCCTCCTGTGTAATTTCGTTTACTTCCACTATCTGAGCCACTGTGTATAGATCTACAAGTGGATTCTGGATTTACAGCTTTGTCCCTAAACCTCTCTTCTTGTTCCAGGCTCAGATATCCCATTGGATATTTTTTCTTGAATGTTAACATGAAATTCAGCATTTCCAAGTTGAACTCATCTTTTCTCCCTGTGACAGACAAAGGGGATCCCTCGATCCTGCCTCATGTTCACACCTTTGTGAACCTCTCTCCCCTTGAATATGGACAAGCCTTGTGGTCACTCACTTCCAATGTGCGGAATACAACACAGGTGATGGGAGATCACTCCTGTGCTTAGACTATGTTATATAAGATTCTGTCTTGCCAAAAGAGTCACATTAGAGTCTTTTTACTTAACAATGTAAGTAGCCATGATGGGAGAGCCTATATGGCAAGGAGTGGTAGCCAAACTCTCTTTGTGATCTCAAGGAGGTGAAGGTCGGCTCCAGATGACCATCCACAAGAAGCTGTAGCTTTCAGTCCTACAACCACAGGATATGAATTCTGCCAACAATGGTTTGCAGACTTGTGGGACCCTAAATGTAGGACACAACAAGCATGCTTAGCTATCTGACCCACAGAAACTATGAGATACTAAAGCTTCTAAATTTGTGAAAAATTTTTACTTACTAATAGATAACTAAAAGACCCCAAAACCTCATCCTTCCTCTTTTTTCTTTCTCTTTAAATGGCTCCATATTTTACTGCTCACCAAGCCATCCTGAATTCTTCCTTCTCACATTCAACTAGTCTCTGTGGATCATTATTTCTTCCTACTTAACAGCTTCCTAACCCAAACACTTCCAAACTACATTCCATAGACTGTAAGATATCCCCCAGCCACCCACACAAACAAAATCAAGTGTCAATTAAGTTTGCCATATGGAAATTTTGGTCTTTAGAATCATTTCTATGGATACTGCTATGGCTTTTTTTTTATTTTTTGAGAAGCAGAAAGTCAGAGAGAGGGAGAGAGGGAAAGAGGGGGACAGAGAGGGAGAGAACTGGGACTGTAGCTAGGAGTCAGGAATGAGGACCACAGTCCACATCCCCCATGTGTGTGGTAGGAATCCAATTACTTGAGCCATCGTTGCCGCTTCCAAGAGTGCACCTTAGCAGGAAGTTGGAAACAGGAACTGAAGCAGGAATTGAACCCAGGTACTCCAGGGCGGGATCCAGGCATCTTACAATTAAGCTACATGTCCATCTTCTGTGCTCTCTGAGCCTCCTGGACTGTCCTCAATCACAGGAGGTGAATTGTTTGCATTTTAGTCTCTGCAAGACAGTGAATTTTATATCTTTTGGAACTTTGCTTTATTATTTCCCCTTAGTGTCTGATTTAAGCAAAAAGTCATTCTTTGATTAATGAATTCAATCAGCCCACATTTCTTAGGCATATAAAAGTTGGAAGAAAATGTAGTTGTTAACTTCACAGGGAAAGGCAAAGATTCTTGGAGTAAGATGTGAAATAAGAAAGAAGTTTTCCCTGTGCCCTCAGCTCAGGACTGAGCTCCCATTCCAAAGGCATATTATTTGGAGGTGCTTCCCTTGTGCAAAAACTGCTGGTGGGGAATTGAACATGGTTCTTTGAGCAGAGTCTTGGATCAACGCAGATGCAAGATCTCTGAAGCACTGATGGACATAGTAAAAAGTTTAGTGTAAAACCTAATATCCTGTGACAGCTGCAATCAGGTTTTGTATATTGGAAAATGCTAAGAATTGAATGCAACTTTGATATGGATTATTTCTTTAATTACACAAAAGAAAGATGAAGCCTATGTAAGACTTGGTAGATATTAGATGTTCTGATTCTTAGTTTTGGTTTTCCCAATTCATGAATCTGAGGTAACAACACCACAGCCAGTGCACAGTGCTGATCCGAAGCCAGGAACCAGGTGCTTCCTCCTGGTCTCCCATGCAGCTGCAGGGCCCAAGGATTTGGGCCATCCTCCACTGCACTCCTGGGCCACAGCAGAGAGCTGGACTAGAAGAGGAACAATCAGGACAGAATCCGGCGCCCCGACCAGCGCCGCAGGCGGAGGATTAGCCTATTGAGCCGCGGGCACCTGCCCTGAGTGCATACTCTCAATGACCTAAGGACCTCCCATGGGGCTGCACACCCTAAATGTTCCACCTACTCCCAGTAGCATAGCCTAGGGACCAAGTGTTTAAGCATGGACTTTTCAAGCAAAACCCAAATCAATATCAACCATAGCACCAAGATGATCCTTATATATTTTTCATTATGAGATAATTTTATATTTACTGAAGAGCTGTAAAAGCAGCATAAAAGTCCCCCAGGTTCCACAGATGTTTCCATCTTACATAATCAAAAGACAATTATGAAAAACTAATAAATTAATACCAACACAATACAATTAAATAACAAGACTCAAATTTCACCAGGTGGTTCATTAATTTTTTTTTTCTGTTGAAGGATACAACATAGAACCCTAAACTGCATTTACTTGTCCTATCTGCTTCTTTAGTCTTTGTCTTTCATGAGCTACAGATTTTTGAAGAGGTCTGGTTAGTGATTTTGTAAGATGTCCTTCCACTTGGTTTTGTCATCATTTCTTATGATTAGATTGAAGTTAAGCATTTTGGGGAGACTATTATGGAAGTGATATGGCACATAATATATCTGGGGGTACATGATGTTCATGCCTTATTACTGTTTAAATTAACATAGATTACTAAAAGTGTGTCTACCAGGGTTCTCCAATGCAATGTTACTATTTTCTCTCAGTAAATAATATTTGGGGAGAGATACTTGGAAGTTATAAAAATATCCTGTTTCTCTTTAAACTTAAGTAACTGCATAAACAAAAATACATGCAAAAAGCACAACTCTTCCCTACAAAAGAATCCCAATTAAAAACAGAAAGTGGAAAGTTGACATTAGCACACCCTAATCATAACTGCTACTGGTAAGATGCACCAGCTAAAAATTTTGTGATCCATACACATGAAGGATCTTCAAAAAATTAGTTAAAAATACATATTATGAAAGAAAGGTGGGCCTGGCACTGTGGTATAGTGGGTCAAGCTGCCGCCTGCAGTGCTGGCACCCTGTGTGGGCACGGGTTTGAGTCCTGGCTGCTCAACTTTCAATCGAGCTCTCTGCTATGGCCTGAAAAGCAGTAGAACATGGCCCAAGCTCTTGAGCCCCTGCATCGGCATGGGAGACCAGGAAGAAGCTCCTGGCTCCTGGCTTCAGATCAGCCCAGCTCTAGCCATTGTGACCATTTGGAGAGTGAACCAGTGGATGGAAGCTCTCTCTCTCTCTCTCTCTTTCTCTCCCTCTCTGCCCCTGCCTCTCTGTAACTCTGCCTTCCAAATAAATAAATAAATAAATCTTTTAAAAAATCCATGAATTTCAAAAATTATTTGCACCATACGAAGTTATCTTTTTTATACTTAAAAATTTTTTTTACGTTCTACAAAATTTCATTTATTTCATATACACAGATTTAGGAACATAGTGATACTTCTCACCTTACCCTCCCTCCTGCCCATGTTCCAACCATTCTGCCTCATCCCTCTCCTATTCCCACTCTTAATTTTTACAAAGATCATTTTCAGTTTACTTAATAATCACAAGGTTAACCCCACACTAAGAGTTCAGAAGTCATATTTTAATTTCAATTTTTCACAAACTCTCTAAAGTGCCTGTGGGGAGCAACTGGGAGCAACTCGGACTAGACTAAGTTACTGGAATTAAGACTTATTCTATGCATCTGCTTTCCCACAATATGGCGCTGAGAAGGGAGTAGCAACTTCTGCGCAGCTGCCTCTCGCTAGCTTGGGTGATGACCTGCAGGAGCTGATCCTGCTCCTGATTGCAGGAGAGCAGCGTACTCGGCGTGTGGGTAGCAGAGTTGGGATTGGTGGAAGAGGACTATAAAGGAAGAGAGAGACAACATGCACCAGGAACAC